TCTTGTGTGGTCAAGAAAATAATACTAGTACTTGTAAATAAAATTTTCAATAGAAAAGATTTTAGTACAATAGAAGGAACATTTTCTAATATCAGATGTCTCCAAATGTTATAAACCCCCAGGCACTTAGAGGCATACCAACATAAAAATACCTTTGTCAGGATGTATTGCACACACACAAAAAAAATCCCTTCTCCATACTGCATCTAAAAATTAACTACATGCCCCCTGAATTTCTTTTTAATTTGAATTTCTTGATTATATACTTGTAACTAAATTTATAGAGATGAAAACATAAACCATAAATGATATGGTCTAAATGTTTGTGCCCTACCCCCAAATTCATATGTTGATACCTAATCTCTAATGCAACAGTATTAAAAGGGGGGCCTTTGGGAAGTCAATAGGCCATGAGGGAGTAACGCTCAATAATGGGATTAGTGCCCTTATGAAAGAGGCCTGAGGGAGCTTGTTCACCCCTTCTGCCATGTGATGACACAGCAAGACAGTGCTGTCTATGAGCAACAGGCCCTCATCAAACACTGAATCTGCTGGCACCTTGATCTTGGACTTCCTAGTCTCCCAAACGGTGAACAATAAATTTCTTATCTACAAGTATTTTGTTATGGCGGTCTGAATGGATTGAGATAATGAGTTTTGAGCACTTGATACCGTTTTGATAAAAATATATATTTACTGTTTAAAAGGATAAACAGGTTTAAAAAGCTCTGAATTATGGCAGACTAGATACTCATCAAATCCGTTCCTCCTTTTTCTTTGGTACATAGCTAAACAACCACGGAGAGTTTAACATGGTTTCAAATTATTTGACAATCCTTCCATTGAAAGGTTTGTCTACATTTCCTTCTCTTGAATATGGGTGACTTTGACCAACAGAATATATGGCAGAAGTGATCTGTGTCTGTTTCGAGGCTGAGGTCTTAAGAAACTGGCAATTCCTAATTCCTGTGTCTTGGAACATCTGCTCTTAAAATCCAGCCATTATGCCAAAGCAGCCCTGTGGAGAGGTCCATGTGGAGAAGAACTGACAGATCTGGTGGAGTTCGCAACCAACAGTCAGCGCCACTTGTTAGCCATGCAAGTCAGCTATATTGGAACTAGGTCCTCCAGCTCCAGTCCAGCACACCAGCTGAAGCCACATGGCACAGACTTCAGCCTTTACCACACAAACCTGCCCAGATTCAGACTTGTGAGCAAAGTAAGCTACTGTCATTGTTTTAAACCATTCAGTTTTAGTTGGTTTGTTATTCAACAAGAGATAACCTGGACAGAATTTAATGCTGGAAGTGGGGTCTTAATGTAATAAAAGCCTTAAATGTGTGGCATGGATTTGGAATCGAGTCGTGGTGAGTTAAAGCTGGAAGGGCTTCAAGGAGATTATTGGTGAAATCAGAAGACGTGGTGATAGCTTGAAGTACAGTGAGGAAATTGTTATTTTAGGCCAGAGAAAAGGTGACTTCTATTATTTAGTGGGGAAAATTTGGCAACATTGTCACCTGCAATAAGTATAGAAAACAGAAAATATAATGTGAACTGGTGAGTTTGGCAGAATGCTGAAAGTGCCACCTGTTTTCTCATAGCCACGTAGAATAAGATACAGTTGCAGGGAGAGATGAGCTAAAAAAAAAAAACTGATCATTTTCCATAAGAATTCAGATGAAATATAAAGAAGCCAGGTATTCTTGAGTTCAAAAATAATATTTTATCATCCTCAATCTCTCCAGAAGGCAAAAATAGCTTTTTTAGAGGCTAGGGAGACATAATCTAAACAAAATCATAAAAAAAAGTAGCTTCAGGGAACTTACACCAAATCCAAGGTGCTTTGCTGGTATGTCTAGAAGCCCTTGAAAGATGTTTAGGTCCAAAGGAAGGTTTCTGAGAGGCTTGTGAATATTTAAGGTATATCTGGTAGGGTTTCTAAAAATCTGAAGTACGTTGTCCCACAGCCCTGTAACTTTTAATCATTTATGGAGAAGGTCCATCTCAGAAAGAAATATGGATATTGCTTTAATCTAAAATGAAATTTCCTCAGATATTTGAAATAAATATATCGAGTTTTCTACTGAAAGTCAGCATAAAATGAAAAGAAGCCTTTGACTTTCCAAACTCCTGTGGGTAGTAAACAGGCTATAACAGTCTGTTCATTTGTAAGCATGAGCCATTTCTTGTGGAATGAGATGAATGATTTAAAGTCAAGACCAAAAGCCCAGAAAATGGAGCCAAGAGTCAAGGAAAATCATCTCCAGTCAGCAGGACTGGGCCCTAATCAAGAACTGGAAATATGTTTCTGGTTAGATATTTATGGCTAAGTGACTGTTATATGTTTCCTGTTCCTTCCATTTTGAACAGAAATGCCTATTGCGGTTATCCTATTTCTATCTTATCATTGTATATTGGGTATGTGTGAGGGGGCGGAAAACATATTTCTTCAGTTTCTAGGTATTAGATGAAAAGGAACCATACTTGAGAAACTATACACTCAGAGCCTCATCTCCATTGGACCTGTTTAGAGGAATCCTAAACCTCAAGCATGAGCCTAACGATGTAATGGGATGAGAATTTTGTTTGGTGTTAGGCGGTAAGTGGATGCATTTTTCACTTGTAAGAAATGTAAACGAGTCTATGGTAAAGCCCACATGGAAATGAACTAAGGCCTCTAAACAACAACTGCAGCTGGGTTTCCAGTTGACAGCTGTTACCAGCTTTCAAGCTGTGTATACAAGCCGTGTGGGAAGTAGATTCTCCAGCCCCAGTTGGGCCACTTCAGCTAGTGTTGCATGAAGCAAAGATAAGCCATCCCACCTTGGTCCTGCCCAAATTGCAGATGCAAATTCATGAGCAAGATAAATTATTGATTTTTTTTCAGCCATTGAGATTGGTACTGATTGTTACATAGCAATAAATAACCAGAGCAAGTGTATTTCCTAGCCTCCTTTGCAGGTACAAATCGGATATGCTTAATCTAAAAATTTGAACTCCCAAATCCTCCAAAATCGGAAACTTTTTGAACACTGACATGATGCTCAAAAGAATTGCTAATTGGAGCTTTTCGGATTTCAGATTAGGAACGCTGGACCAGTAAGTATAGTGCAGACGTTACAAACTCTTAAATAATCCCAAATCTGAAACACTTGAGGTGCCAGGCATTTCGGATAAGAGATACTCAATCTATAGTTACAGAAATGTACTGAGTTCTAGAAAATGGAATGTGAGCAGAGTGCTCTATCCTGTAAACCTTCCATGTACAATCCTCCATATCCTTTTCCCTTCCTCCGGTTTGCTGTGCAAAAGGCAGTCGTCTTAATACCATGTTTAAGATGGCAGATCTGCAAGATAAAAGGGACCAGTTCTCTAAATCACTGAGCAGTGAATCAGTTGCTGCAGATAACAGTGTTACATCCCTTCAGACTACCTGATTTTAGTACATCTCTGGTGAATAGTTCCATGTACATAGGTCCCACATCAAGCATTTGTTGCAACTTCTCTCTGCCTTGCTACTCAGGACTTTTTTTTTTTTTAATAAAGTCATAGAAGGCTATTCTGTCACATTCAAGTGTGACCCAGAAATGTGGGAGAGTCAACAGCTCAGCTCCTCACACTCCCATTTATTAGTTTCCTAGGGATGCCGTAACAAATTACCACAAACTTAGTGGCTTAAAACAACATAAATGCATATGCTTAAAGTTCTGGAGGTAAGAAATCCAAAATTAAGGGGCTGTCAGAGTTGGTTCTTTCAAGAGGCTCAGAGAGAGGATCAATTTCATGTCTCTCTTCTAGGTTCTGATGGCTGCTAGCAACGCTTGACATTCTTCAATTTGTGGCTGCACAGCGCCAATCTCTGCCTCTATCTTCACAAGGGCTTCTTCTCTCTCTGAGTCTGCGTGTCTGCTCCTTTTCTGGCTCTTTGAAGAATGACAATGAAGTTAGGGCCTATTCTAACCTACGATGATCTCATCTCAGATATTTACCTTAGTTAAATTTGCAAAGGCACTTATTCCAAATTAGGTCACATTCTGAGGTCCCGGACAGACAAATCTTTTCGGGGGCACCATTAAGCCCATTATACTCCCCATCCTCCATTGGGGCAATTCAGAAGTATGTTCTATGTGGTTTTCCAGGGGGTTCTCACAGGAACAGAGCCTTGGTTGACTGTAGAAGTAACCAGCTTATTATAGCACAGTTTATTGCTTTTCTCTCTTCCTTATCTCATTTGCTCTACATTCTTAACTTCTCTTTCCTGGGATCTTGTCTCAAACTACCTAGAAGTCTCTCTTTTAGGCCATGCTTTCAGAGAACTCACACTATGAGAGAAAGATCACTTGAGTATAAGGCAGACTGATGTCTACAGACTTCACATGAGTAAGAATAAAACTTATCACTCACATGTGAGCAGCTTGTTTGAGCTGTAATAATACAAATCCACTGTTCTTCACGAAATTTAAACTCTTACAGGTTTTTTCCTGGCTATGTTTCAGGTATCACCCACATTTTCCTTATGGTCCTGTCATTGATATCTTCTAAAAATACCTTTTGTCCTTACAGGAATCTTAAAATACTATCACTAAGCCTTATCTTTTTTCTTCTTAAATTTAGGTATTCTTAGATGTTTCAGGAAAATGATTTTTAGGTATTTTATCCTTGAAATCTACATAAATAATTTCTTTTCAAAACTTGAGTTCCTACAAGTACATGCATCTATGGGAAAGTTACGTAATTTCCTTAAAAGGAAGCAGTCACTACCAGATACTACACCATAGCAATTTGAGTGACACTAAGTGTCTCTTTTCAATGAATTAAGAATTCTCTTAAAAACAGAAATAATAAAGTCTCTCACTTTAAATACATAAGACCCAAGGAAATAAGATAGAGAAAATAAAATGTTACTGAAAAAAGAAGAAATACTGGGGCTAATAGGTGTTTGTTTTCTATTGCTATGTAACAAATTACCACAATTTTAGCAGATTTGACATAATATGCATTTATTGTCACACAGTTTCCCTGGATCTGGAGTCCAGGCATAGCTGCACTGGGTCTTCTGCTGTATGTTCCAGAAGGCTACGGTCAAGGTATTGACTGGGGCTAGTATTTCATGTGAGGCTCAGGGTCCTTATACAAGCTCACGTGGTTGTTGGCAGAGTTAATTCCCTTGTACATCTAGAATTTATGAAAGCTTGATTCTGTAAGGCCAGCAGAACAAGCTTTCTTACTTCAGAAAAGGCCCAAGTCCCCTTTCAAAGGACTCACCTGATTAGGTCAGACTTACCCAGTGTAATCTTTCTTTTCATTAATTCAATTCAGACTGACCAGGGACCTTAATTTAATCTGTAAAACCCTTTGCCTTTAACAATATAAAGTTATCTAAGTGTGAATTTAGATTTTGGGTTTTGGCTTATAGTTTTTGCTATATTCTGTCGGCTAGAAGCAAGTCACCAGATTCTGCCCATAGTCAAGGAAAATGTATAACAAAAGAGCATGACTTGGGGCTATTTTAGATTTCTGCCATCCATTGCCAAGTATTTTAATACTTTATTCAGTGGAAGATAATATTAAGAACCCTAAGTTTAACTTCTGCATGGTAGATTAGACATTCTAAATAAACCTTTCAATTAACATAGCTGAGATAGTGAATGAAAGGCTGTAATTTGTAAACTATAAAATCATTATGGAAAACAGCCTGGCATTATCTAGTGAAGTCAATTATGCACATACCTTAATTCCCTGTAATTCCACTTGTCAGAATGTATCCTACAGAAACTCTTGCATTTATTTACCAGTAAACACATATGGAACTAAAAAATTGGATAAATTATATAGAGAAATATTTACATGTGGTAGAACTATAATGGAAAGGAAAGGAACTATTGATACAAGCTTCAGGAGAGTGGTTATTTCTGGGGACCAGATGTTATCAAGGTAATCTCTTTTAAACCTGGGTTAAAAGGGCTTAGGTGTTCATTTCGTCATCTCTTTTAAAAACATAAATATTCACTATTTTTGTTTAGGCTATTTTTCACAATAAAAAGAATTAAAAAATAATCTGGGCTCTTAAGGAAAAGGAAATTGATTTGTTTTCTATTATTAGTAGAGAATAGGTACAAATAAGGTAGAGCCTACTGATATGACACATTATCATTTTATGATATGACATATTATCTTTCATTAATTTAAAAATTTTAAATTGACAATTAAAATTGTATATATTTATGGCATACAACACAACATTTTGATACATGTATACACTGTGGAAGAGCTAAATCAAGCTTTTTAACATATGCATTACCTCGCATACTCATAAATTTTTGAGGTGAGAATACTTAAAATATACTCTCAGCAATTTTCAAATATACAACATATTATTATTAACTGTAGACACATATTGTACAATAGAGAGATTTTGTATCTTTTGATCAGCATCTCCCCAATCCCTCCACCCCCAGTTTCTGATTACTATGACTTTACTCTCTGTTTCTATGAGTTCAACTTCTTTATACTCCACATATAATTCAGATCATGTAATATTTGTGGTTCCGTGCCTGGCTTATTTTACTTAGCATGATGTCCTCGAGGTTCACCCATGTTGTCACAAAAGATGGGATTTCCTTCTTTTTTAAGTCTCAATAATATTTTATTGTGTGTATATATATTACCATTATTAAGAAGTCTTTTATTTTAAATGTGTAGTAAAGCTACAGCCAAATCCTGAGAATTCAAAAATTATAAATGAAAGTAATATTAGGAAGCTCATCACAGTGACAAGATCTTCAATTACATCACATTAAAACATTCCATAATAAAATTTCTTCTCCGCAATAAACTAATGAACTAAGAACTGCTGATGAGCCTCAGACCAGTCAAAAATCTTTTGAGATGACTGGGGTATGACTCCTTTGTTTAACCAGGGAACTTAATGGGGTTCCATGTTGATGGCAAGAATGGTAGATGAGCAGTATATTTGTTTAATTGGACCTGAGAGCTTATATTCTATTTATTTCCTTCAAAAGCTTGGTGACCATTCTAATTACATTAAGTGAAATAAGTCAGGCACAGAAAGAAAAATACCACATGATCTCACCCATATATGGAATCTAAAAATGTTGATTTCATAGAAATAGAGAATAGAATGGTGGTTACCAGGGGTTAGGGTGGTTGGGCGTTGTGGGTGGTGGTGATGAGGGGTTGTGGAGATGTTGAAAGGATACAAAATTTCAGTTAGAAAGAAGGAATAAATTCAAGAGATCTATTGTACAACATGGTGATTATGGTTAACAATAATATATTGCATTTTTGAAAAATGCTAAGTGAGTGGTTATAAAGTACTCTCACCACAAAAATTATAACTGTGAGGTAATACACATGTTATTTAGATAGATTTTGTAATTCCACAATTTATATATACTCCAAAACATAATGTTGTATGTGATAAATATATGCAATTTTATCTGTCAATTAAAAAAACTAATAGTAAAATTTACCTTTTAATGAAAATGATATTTTTAGAATTAGAATTCAGTGGGATTTAAAAATATTTTAGTTTTCTTATATCAATGAGAAATTTTGACACTTATGCCATCTTCAGATACCTTCTGAAGGTGAGAGACTCTAACTATAGGCCAAAAAGCCAGGAAACTGTAAATAGCCTTTGCAGTGCTGACTTGTAAAGCAAAATTTATAAATAAAATTATGACAACATGTCAGCTTAGAAATGAGGATGATTAACTAGAAAAAAACATATTCCTGTTTTGTCAAAAGTAGTCTGAAAGTCAAGAGGCAGGCAGGGGCATTTCAATGTGAATGAGCACAGAGGCAGTGGCAGGACGTTATCACATCATGATATAGCTGTCAGATTGTTCATTGCCAGGGAGTTGTAGAGTTGAAAGGGAACTTAAAGATTTCAAGTCCTATTTTTTTTTCTAGGTTTAATGAAAAGTGAGCAAATTTCATCTGTATGCCTAAATGTCTGCATTTTGTTATAAGGTATTTACTGATTTTATGTAGTGGACTAAATTGCTTAAAGGCGATTCAAGATTCCAAAATTTATCTGAGAGTTAGCAACAATAGATAGTCACTAGGGCCTTGCTTTCTAAAACTATTTCTCATTATTTAACAGCCATGATAAATGGGGTAAATAAACAGATTTGATATTAGTTCAATCTGACACTTGCTGAATATATGTCGCAAGCTACCATATTGGGGTTGTTATTGTTTTTCCATCTGTGCTTAGAAAGAGATAAAAGTAGTTAATAAAAGCACTAAGAAAATATTTTGTTGCAGAAATGCCAGGTGTTAGCTCTATAGTAGTGCCACAATATTTCAGTGATAACGGGATACAGAAAACCTCAACAAGTGATCTTAGGTACAACCAATAAGAAACAAATGCCACATATTGTTTCTTATCACCCTTAAAAACACAAGGAAAGTATGTAGTCAACACTAATTGCAGACCCCTGAATGGTTAATACAGCCAACTCTCATTTTTCTTATGAATACTAGGAAAAAGTAAGATGGTTAACTAGAAGAGCACACACAGGCCCTCATACCCTTTTGGTTCTCCTCTTTGTCTCTGCAATATACCAACTTTATTTTAGGTATGTGAGTTGACTGATCTGAGTGTCACTAATCTTCACTGTCTACCCATTAGTGAAAAAATAAATCAGTGAAATCGTGATAAAACATAGAAAAGGAAATCTAAGGGTCTTTTAAACTAGATAACTCATCTGTAAATAACCAAAAGGAGTCTATGCTTTCTTCGTACCCTATCTTTAATTTTATAATGGATACTACCCATCTAGAATTTCCTTCTGGATTTATCAATTCATTAGGTAGACATAAAATTTGTGGTGCATTCTTTAAATTGTATGGCTTCTTATTAATGCCTGAATCATTACTTAGGAGTTTAGTGTTGCATGGGGAACAGTAATCTAATAGTCAATTACCAATTTAATTGTAAATGTGGCTGGTATGCGGGATTGCAATAAGCAAGTAAGGGAAAGAAAGGACTTCAGCAATGGCAATACTTCTGTTGAGGAAGAAAATCTCCAACTTAAGCTGATCCCAAATAATTGCAGTTAAAATCTACTACTAATAAACCATAATTAAAATATAATATCCTATCATTCCACTGGTGTTCTCCAGCACAGTGGGCCCCGGCCTTTTTGACACCAAGGACCGTTTTCATGGAAGACAATATTTCCATGGACTGGATTGGGGGGGATGGTTTTGGGATGATTCAAGCACATTACATTTATTGTGCACGCTATTTCTATTATTATTACATTGTAGTATATAATGAAATAATTATATAACTCACCATAGGTTGGGGACCCCTGCTCTAACATTCAAAATTCAACCTTTGTTTGGCTAACAATTCTTATTCCCACAAAGTCTATTTGTATAATCTGCCTGTGGATATAAAAACATAGGGAGGTTTAATTTTTATCAATTGTGGTAACTAGAGAAAATTTATTTTTTCCCTTCATCCGTAACTCTGGATGACCTTTTAAGTGATACTTACCAAATCATTACTTCATGGAGATTATTCTAATAGTTCTTCCTTTATTGACAAACTATGGTGATTAATCTATCATACAATTGTTTAACACAGTAATGTCATACTAATTCATTTGCTCTCTGGACTTTATGAAATACATTCCTCAGCTTTAATAAGAATAGAAAGGATAATACTAAAACTACCATTTAATGAGTGCCTACTCTGTTTCAGTTACTGAAAGAGGAGCTCTGCAGCCATGATAGACACTTAATACAATTCCTTATTTAATTATTTACCTGGGTCTATTCTGTGAAACAAATGCCCAACTCTGCCTTTCTGAATGAAATTTCTGAATTTAGTACACATACCAGACATATAGCAAGCACTCATTAAATATTTCTGAAGAAAATTAACATGAATTGGGTGTTAGCATCACCATATTGGCAGGGGTGGGGGAAGGAAAACTGAAGTACAAAAAAGTTAAGTAACTTGTTTAGGTCACACTGTGTATTCACTGTTTAAACTCAATTTTCCCAGGAGAAGTGAACATACAAAGCACCACAAGTGACTTCACAGAGGAGGTGACATTTGATTTGATTATAAAAAGAAGGTCTGATATGAATGGATAAAAGGAAACATGTTACCATTCCCACAATAGCAGAGAGAACATCTCATTAGATCTGTGAACAATTCATTCTTTAGATAATATGGTTCCTAAATAGTCTGTACTGGTGCCCCAGTGACATTTGTGGCTTAACGTGGCTCCGAAAACATAAGGTAAAGTGTCAGTGGTGAGAAACCCTGGCTAATTATCACAGAAATACAGGACTGGGACTAGAGTGAGGCAAGCGAGGTGCCCTTGATTGCAGGATTTAAGGGTTGACCATGCACGGGCATACCCTGAGAGTCTCACCGTAGTGACCTTGATCCTGGCCCAGATGAAATTTTTTAATACAATGTGAATGTCAACAGTTGTTATGAGTTCCAGAGTTATGTTTTCCAATACGGTAATCACTAGGTACATGGTTAAATAGAGTTAAAAAAAATCAGATCTTCAATTGCTCTAGCTTTAATTCAAGTCTTCAACAGCTACATTTGGCTAGTGGCTTCCATATTGGACAGTGGAATTTTGAAATATTTCTATCACCACAGAAAATTTTATTGGGCAGAACAGGGTTGGCTCCATCTACAATCTGTGTACAAGTGCCTTAATTTTAACTGAGATTAGATGCTGCAATGGGCTCCAGAATGGAGGAAATGATAAAAGTAGCTTTTATTATGTCATAATTTGTTGAATTATTTGCATTTTCCATCAGGAAACTTTTAAATATTTATTTTTAATTCATTCATTCTATCAGTATTTATTGAGCAGATACACTGTGTGTGGGCATGTGGTATAATAGGTGAACTAAGACTTGCAAAAAATAACAATAACATAAGGTGAAACAAACTCCCAAATAAGAATTCAGAGTGGGGAGAAATTATTTATTGTTATATCTATTAATAAATCTTCATAGAAAAGGTGATATTTACACTTAGCCTTTATGGGTAGATAGGATTGGGAAATGTGATTATGGTAGCAGAGGGAAATCTATAAGAAAAGTTAAGGTTGGAGAAAAATGTGAGCCATATATGGTAAGAACAGTTTGGTTGGCTTGGAATATAAGATATGGGGGGGGGTTGGCATATTTCTTGTGTTTTGTTGGTATCTTCTGTTCTATAGCTTCTGAGAA